CCAAACTTCAGGATCCTTCAGGACCTTTTTTCAATGTTTCTGATGACATCTGATGACAAGTTCTCCATTCTGCCAACCCCAAACGAACCCAACAGGTCCGCGTCTGAGACTGCCAAGTTCAATCCGTCGAGGTCAGAGAAAGTGGCGGGAAGGACTTTCACCTGACATGGGACTGTCCCAAGGTGTGTTTGAAAATAAGGATTCACCACAGTTATATACAGATATAGCATCTTATGGCCATGTAAATAGGGACAATGTACGGGAATGATTCATGACAGAAAACAGATGTCACCGGTGGATTTAGGGGTACGACATGTTCAATCATTTTCAGACAAACCCAATAATGATCCGGCTTGCATCACCTTTAAAGCTTTCTGCAATCTGAATCAAATATGATCTGATCAAATACAGCATTGCCTGTGCCCCATGCTGGATTTTAGAGGATTCTTGGCCACAGTTTACTTGATCTGTGACAAATGGACATTTTGAACACTTCAACTGAAAACGAACGTCAAATCATCCAGAGAACAAAGCCTTGAGGATCCTCAAAAGGAATCCAAGTAACATCCAGCTCCATGCCAGCAAATCCAGCTTTCAGAATGGAAGGATCCAAATTGCCGGTAAACCTCCCGAAGTTGGTTCAGCAAACCCCACGACTTGTCGTGAAAAAATTGTGGCTCGTCGTTTTTCAAAGGGTGGCCACAAAAAAAGAATTGGGGTCAGAACAACAGGTGACACTCTGAAATACATCCGATCTTTCGCTCAACGATTTGAACTTCTCATGGTCTGGATAAAACATGGAAATATATGGAAATATCTATTCTTCAGGAAAGGATACATGGCCATACGGACCTGCATTTGACATGGCACCAGTATGCACCAGTCAGGAAAGCAACAAGTCAATTAGCTACCTATGCTCTGACTATCTTTATCATGTTTTTGCCTTAGATAGACTATTATATAAATGATCATTAATGTCGCAGCCCCCAAATAGATCAACATTCGTAAAATCCCAGCAAAATGTCATGCATATCATATCACTGTTCTACCTTTTTGGATCCTTTTTGGTGCATCTGATTGGAAACCTGTTTGTTTCCAGCAGCCCTGCCTGGCACCTGCTGCGCAGGGCTCCAGCTTTGCCGTGGACACGCCACCCCGTACCTGGTCCGTGACGGCTCGCCAATTGGAAAAGTGCCAGTCCACCGACCTGCCGGGTTTTCGGCTGCGGTTCTACTGTGGAGCTTTGGAAGTGGTAAACCATGGTAAACCCAATGCCACAAAGCCATACAAAGCCATACAAAGCCACCATCCCGCTTAGAGCCATTTAGTCCACTTATTCAACACCCATCATCGGTTCGATCCATTTCGTGTTGATGAAATTGGATAGGTATCTCCAAGTTATCGTCAAGTGGCCCTCCAAGCAAGGGCACGGTGGCAAACTGCTGAGTTTCAGCCAGCACCGACGTCACAGCCAATGCTGCAGCCGCCACAACTCTCCGAAACGCGGCCATGGCAAATGTGGCAACGGTTGAGTCGGTTGAGTGGCTCACAAGAAACTCGTGCTGCTCGTGGCTGTTTTCAACGGCTCAAGCCCAAAGTTTCGAGTAGCAAAGTTGCTCGAATGTCAAGCAAGGCACCTAATCATAGGTACCCTCTGGTAAACTAACATAGCTGTTGAAAATGGCCATTTATAGTGGATTTACCCATTAAAAATGTTGACTTTTCATAGTTACGTTAGTTTACCAGAGGGTATATAGTATTGTACAAATATGAAGCAACCAGTCAGAAAGTCGGAAAAGCTGCCCCAGTCCAAGGCTGTGCCAGTACCCATATTATCCAAGTGATTGGTACCGACCTGCTTACATGCTGTATTGAATCACGTCACATCAGCATGATGCTGAAATCTCAATTCTTGACGAGACCCAATTTGTCTATATATAAAATATGTGAACAAATCGATCCTTGTTCTGGATACCTTATCAGTTGTGGTTCCCTATGTGCTGATAGTCGGGGCTGTCAAACCATGCAGCGGCAGAGCGCGTTATTTTGGCCTCGCAGTGGGTCTTGAGCCATAACGGCGTCCCGTGCAAGTATGTACATATGCTCAGCATATATAACTACTGTGTTGTCTCGTTCCCCTTCGCACCCCCCATGCCTATGGCATCTTCGAACCATAGGCACGAGAGTGGGAACTTTGAATTAAATTCTTCTGCTACTTGAATTACGCCTATGTACATAAAACATGCCATTCGGCTCCCCCTTCCCCACATACCCGTCGGGAATAATGGTTCAGGGTTCGCCTACTCTTTGGCTGTCGATGCATCGGCGCTTCATCAAGCTGTACACCGCGAATTATTGCTAGCTAACATCTACTTTTCTACGTTGGCTAAGCATACCACTCACCCGTCGGGAGAAATGGATCGCCTCGCTACCAAAGATTTACAATGCTAACTAACGAATTCACGCGCACAATGCGGAATCTCGTGCAGATTGGGAATATCAAAAGTCTTGAACCTAAGCGAATTAGTCTACTGCCTCGCTCAGAGTCCACTCAGTTGGTCTTTTCCTGATCATCTGTTCACAAAGACGATACACATCTTATGGGTCAGTGATCATTTTGATGGACAGAGGTAATGAGTTTACTGCTCACGGCGGACTTTCTTCCATTGAGGTGTTGTTGGAGTTTTCTCCCATCCTGCCGCACGTTTCGGAGCAGCTTTCGGCGATGAAGGCTTTGCAGGCGGTGCCTTTGATGGTTCATGGGATTTTGGCATAGCCTTGGCCTTTGGTGCGCTGGCTGATGAGGATGATGCTGAACCAGTTCCTTCAGGTTTCTGCGAAGGTTGTGCGGGTGGTTTGGCAAACTTGGAAGCTGCAGTATGTCCAACCGCTTTGAACACTTCACTCACCACTTCGTCGCCAAGGGTTGGAGCCATCTTCGCTTTCATCTCGGTCTTTCCCCTCTGCGCCTCAGCCTCAGCCAGTTGAATAGCGTAAGCCATCTTGCTGACAAAGTTTTGAGGTAAAGGAATGCCACATTGTTGGGCGGCAAAGAGCAGTTCCACTCTCTGTTCTTTCTCCCTTAGGCTCAGATATACCGAGAAGGCTGGGAGTTCGATGCAGTTGGGGAAGCCGTGGCTCCCGGAGCGAAAGAAGGTGTACGATTCATGCTCTGGAAAGGTTCCTTTGAGCAGTCGACGAAGGAAATTGCTGATAGTCACTCGCATCTCCTGTTTCCCTTGGGCATCAGCCTGCATTCGGTTCATTGGCATGAGGAAGCCTAATGACTCTGGAGTGTACCCAGCGCATACCAGAAATTCCATCATCTTCTCATAGATCTCTAAAGTCTTGATGACAGGCATCATCATGTTTCTTGGTCGCCCTGAGTATAGCTTCTCTCCTTCTGACCATGAATTCCTCTTCCCTTTCTCCTGAAAGAGTTCGTCCAACTCCAGCTCCGTCGGTCGCTTGAGGTTGCCATCCTGGTCTTCTCCTGTATAAGGGCAGAAGTCGTCCAGGTCCAGCCGGACTCGCTTGGTTTCCGTCATCATCACATGGTACTCCTCTGGGGTCATAGTGACTCTCTGTTTGTAGTAAAACCTGAACATTGTGATGATCTTTGACATGACTGCGTTGTCATACAAGTGAGCCGCGGCCTCGGAGACGTCATTGTTGATAAGTCCGTCTTCTGGCATACCCTTGCTGCCGCTCTCGAGGTTCTTAGTCCATGCTGGAAGTTTGGAAGAGGGTTCATCTTCAGGTTCGACGTCCATTTCATCGTCGTCTTCTTCAACGATTTCGTCGTCCTCCTGTTGAGCTTCCTCCTCCTGATCCATTTCCTCATCATCGCCTTCATTGTAGCCGACCTCGTCAGGATTGAAGCCATAGTCGTTGGATTCGGATACGTTTTCTTGTGCTTGGTTGACCGTATCCTTGAACAACGATTCTTCTTGTCGACGAACTTCTTCATCGATTTCTTTCTTTGTGGCCTCATCTTCATCGTCTTCAGGAGCTTGTAGCCGATATGGACGGATTCCACAACTTTCAAGTTCCGTCCAGCAAACTAGACACACTGCTAGCTTTGTCGGCGTCTCATTGAGACAGTGAGGACAATGGCGGCAACCTGATGTTTGCACCCTTTTGCGTTCGACTATATAGTCAATCAGTTTGATGCGGGCCAGGTATTGCTCTTGTCCGCCAGGCTCGATGAGGTTGTTCTTGAATTGGTCGACGATGTTCATGGCATCCATGGCGGTTTCGTCAAACGGTTGGTCTTCGGCGTCGATGCACTGACTTGCAACTCTCAAGATGGACTCCTTGGTGGCTACCGTTCTTGATTTGATAGTTCCAGACCGGACTACCTGGTCGTCGCCCGACGGACGAACAACCTGAGCCATGTCTTATTGTTTTGGTCCTTGGGGTCCTGAATCCATCCTCCTTTGATTGCCGAGAACGGGATGATCTTTGGTGAAACGATCTGTCCCGAGTCAGTCAGTCGACCGCCATATTCCACCATCAAGGTCTCGGTCGGGACGAACAAGCAAATGTAGTCCCCCCTTCGCGTATCAACGCTCTTCGTGATGGTCCATGATCTGTGATCCCATGGCACATACGGGTTGAAGAACGTGAACATCCGATGACCTTCTCCAAGACCTCCTGGAATTAATCCCTGCCTCCAAATGCTTCGAAGGTTGGTCTTCTTGGTGATGTGGAAACAAACCGGTAACGATAAAATGGTGTTGGGCGCAATTGGATGTGAAAGTAGTGAGGACAGCAACGAGACATCGTCCCTCGAAGATCCTTCCTTGTGCCCCGTAGGAGCACGAACCGCCACAGGGTAGAGCAGTAGACCTTCGTCAGGGATGTTCGTGTCTGCATCAACTTTGTTGTCAATGCACGTCAGGCTGGTGCGTTCAATGTCCTTGTTGATACCAAAAGCCAAGACTTGTTCACGAACACGACGTCCGTATCGGGCACAGTGGAACATTATCCTGAAGAGCAATGTCATGCGGTAGTTTGCCTCATTGATATTCCAGGCATTCTTATCATTTGCTCTTCCTTTTGGGGCAAGGAATACATGTGGCCATCGTGCGTACTCGTGCCTCCAGATGGACTCACATTTGAGCACCTCCTCGATGGGCACCCAGCCGGCGTCATCACATGACAGACTCTGTTGTTCTGATACCTTCCCCACGTTGTGCCGCAAGATCCTGTTTAATGAGGTACTCACCTTGTCCTCGTAGGGATTGAGTCGGTTGCCAGTCTCGAAGCGGTAGTTGGCTGCATATTCGACACCGCCAAAGTAGGAGCAATTGAAGAAATGTGCCCCCGTTGTTGGAATGATTTTCAAGAAAACATCTTGCGGCGCCTCGACTCTCTTGTAGAAGGGCTTCCTGATGTTGTTATCAGAGTAGCTCGCCATGAAGTCTGGCACGGACCACGAGTCACCTCCTCCTCTGACAATAGCGTCACGGATCACTTCGTTGAGGTCAACAATGTTCTGTGGTCCTAGCTTTGTGACATCACGTCCTTCTATGCAGAACCTACCATACTCATCGAGGTCACCAACTTCAGACATAGTCCTGATGCTGTCGTACCATTGGTGTTCGCTAAACCTCGGTTTTGTAGGCTCATCAGTTTGCCCCGACCCTTCAGTAGCACCTGAACCGTCCTTCTTGTGCTCGGGAGGCTCCATGTCGACGTCATCAGATGTTGGACTATCAGCCTCGAGCGACGCTCGGACGGCCTTTAGCACCTTTCTGACTTCATCCCTCTTCTCATGCCCACATTCAAGATGGCCATGTTTGGTGCTACCACAGTACAAGCACACATTGACATCCTCAGAGACGGTAAAGAGTTTTCCCAACGCATCCAAAAGTTGTTGTTTCCCGGAAATCTCTGAGTCCCTGACCACATCGGTTGGATCATTTGCTGGCTCATCAGCTTCCTCCTCCCCAGGGTGAGCCGTCGACTCGTCACCTGGTTTGGCATCGGCATCAGTGCCCATGCTAGCATCATCCCCTGTGATGTTGTTCTTCCTCCGATAATGAGTGAACACCTGGTCCTTCTCCCACTCCGTGAGGCAGCAGAAGTTGGCCAGTGACTCATATCCGGGGATTGCGTGGATGATCTTCATGACCCTTTCAGCTTCTGCGGTTTGCAATGTGCAGTCAAAGTATCCCCGTCTCTTGTCATTGATGGTGCTTGAGGTTCTGGAAGTCGATGTGAATTGAGCCAATGCCTTTTCCAATCCATTGAGATACTCTGCTGGATCGACACTGGCATTGAAAATATCCACAACTCCCTTGGCCATGTTTGCCACATCCAAGACACCAAGCCAGAACTCGATGATATCTCCAGTTTTCTCGGCTGATGCACGGGAGAATCCAAAAATCTCGTTCCTCTCCTTCACCTCGGGAACGGCAACCTTTTCGAAGAAGTCTTTGTATGCGACATTTCCGCAATCCTTCGTGACTCTGTAGATCAAGAGCCACTTCTTTGCGACATCATC